TCTGTATTTTTTGACATTAAAATATAGAATAAATTAAGATTGACTAAATATGTATTTTATAATTTTCTTCTAATTTCAATTTATGTCATAGATGACTTTCTAACAATCTTATTTGAAAACAACTGGCATTTAGGTAATTTGTATATGTGATAGTCATCAGATTTTTATATAGTGCCTTTTGAAAGTATATTAAGAATTTTGTAAGGTTAAATCAATAAATATTGAATAAATCAATAAAATAAATCAATAAATATTGAAGGGAATATTTTTCTCTGATAATATAGTAAAATTTAATTCAAACATTTTAAAAACAGAGGACTAAGTTAAAAAACATTTCAAATTTGATATTTGTATCTGTACTCTAAAAGTCCTTCTGGGAGCTAAGAGTTACTATTCTGAGTAGAATTTCTAGATTTCAATTTTGAGAACAAAGAGCTTGCTTTATTTGATATGGGAGGGTGATAGTGATGGGTTCAAGATGGATTTACTGAATACTGTGACTCTGCTGGGACTTGGGTTTGTTTCAGTGGGTCAGTGAGTGTCCGGTGGATGTTGAGGATGAGAAAGGGCAGGAACTGTACTCTCCATGCACTTGCTTCTTCTGACTCCTTCATTTCTTCTCAGGTGGAGATATATACCCAGTCTCATGTTTAGCATGTACTTATACTTTCAGCATATGCACATCCTTTTTATGTTTGCTTTGTTCAAGAATGGATTTTTTCCTAACAGAATCAGAATTAGATAATCTTTAAAAACTCCTTCAGCTTTTACATCCTGTCCTCATATAGTTGACAAGTAAAAACTTCAAGAGTCATGTTTTAAAAGCAGACTTTAAAAAAGACTTTTTGCATCAAGATACTTATTGGTTAAGACAAGGAACATAATCCCTTTTTCTGTTTTAACCTGCATATCAAGATTCAGAAAAATCTATAACCTTCCAGGTAACTCGTGTCTCATTGCAGGCAAACCTAATTAGTGAAGATATTGAAAGTGCAATCAGTGACAGTAAAGGAGGGAAACAGAAGAGGCGGCCTGATGCCCTGAGGTAAAAACATTAAAAGAAATTAAGGAATAGAATTGATTTGTTTTTAAATCTTTTTTTTACCCTAAAGGTTTAGAAAAATTATTTTCAGTGGAGGTATATATTATTATATTTTACTGATTACAATCTGTAGTCTCAACATATTTGCTCTCCCAAGTTTGTCAGTATATGTTTGCTCCTTTTCTCTCCATGTTTCTGATCTTTCTCTGATACGGTTTTTCTTACTGGTGTTGGAAGTCACAGTCATGAAAAGATAAGTGGCGGCCGAGCGCGGTGGCTCACGCCTGTAATCCTAGCACTCTGGGAGGCCGAAGCGGGCAGATTGTTTGAGCTCAGGAGTTCGAAATCAGCCTGAGCAAGAGCGAGACCCTGTCTCTACTAAAAATAGAAAGAAATTAATCAGACAACTAAAAATATAGAAAAAATTAGCCGGGCATGGTGGCGCATGCCTGTAGTCCCAGCTACTTGGGAGGCTGAGGCAGAAGGATCGCTTGAGCCCAGGAGTTTGAGGTTGCTGTGAGCTAGGCTGACGCCACGGCACTCACTCTAGCCCAACAAACAAAAACCGACTCACAAAAAAAAAAAAAATAAGTGGCATTTTAAGAGAAGTTAGCCTAGGGAAGTACAAACTAGACATTAGACGTTAGGGCTGTAATTGGTCCACAACCCTTACAAATCACATGAGACCCAGAAAAAAATTCAACCTAGTTTTCAGCTGAATTTTAATTGTTTTATATTCCATGTGCATTTATAAATATATATAATATGGAATGGTTAGGAGCTCTTTATTGCCCTTTTACATACTTCTTTTCAAAGGTTGAATAACTGATATCATAAATTGAGAGAACTGATGTGTTATAGAACTAGAGATGGTAAAAATTCAGTTTTTTTTCATCTTTTTTAGGATGATTTCCAAGGCAGACCCTGGTATACCACCTCCACCAAGAGCTCCTGCCCCTGCGCCCCCTGGGACTGTTACCCAGGTGGATGTTAGAAGTCGAGTGGCAGCCTGGTCTGCGTGGGCAGCTGACCAAGGGGACTGTGAGTATTTCTAGAATTAACACTTATTGAATACTTTCCTGTGGGTTGTGACATAGTTCTTGCTTTCAAATTCTGATGCTGATTTCTGAGCTGAAGCCTGAGGTTAGTTTTAAAAAATTAAGTCTTAGATAAAGGAAGGTTAAGCATTGAATCCTGTTTAAGATTACTATGCATGAGCGTTCAGACCAGCCATTTAATAAATATGATATTAGGATCAGAGTCTTTTTTTTTAATGCCAAGAAAGGAAGTTTCACTTGAGTGAGAAAAAGATGGTAATAGAATATATACCAAATAAGAGAATCTTTTTTTTTTTTTTTAGATTATACTTCACATTATTTCCATTTATTATTATTAACTACTGTCTCTTTTGGGACAGATTTGTTGTGGTAATGGAAAGGATGCAGGACAGTGGTAGGGTATTGGCAGTGGAGGGGGGAAAGGCATTCATCATCTAGCTAAACTTGTTAAAAGGGCGCTATGCATGTAGTGTATTTTTTACCTTGGCATTCTTTTTAAAAACAATTATAGCATAGAACTTAGTGTAACTTTTAATATGTCAGAACATTTTACTAGAATCTGAAATTTTTATAACCAGAAAATGGCTTAAAATATGTTTGGTCCAGTCTCTTCATTTTGAGGATGAGTAAATTGTGATTCAGCAAATTCGAATTTGATGAACTCTAGAGCCTCATTCTTTTGCCTCCTACTCCAGTGGGACTTCTTAAATCACTTATTCTTTATCCAGTAAAGTATTATTCATACAGGATATATGGCAATGTAGTTAAACAATGTAACTTATTTACCAAATGAGTGACATTGGACTGTACTTTGAATGTGGTGTGTCAAAAGCTGGGCTCTGAAGCAAGAACTGGATCTCTCTACCTGTGTGATCTTGGAAAGTTCTCTGTACTTCACTCTCATGTGTAAAATGGAGATAATAATTCATAGGTTGCTGTGAATCTGAAAGCAAATAATGCCTATAACAGTACCTAGCGCAGAATAGGAAGCATAATTTGTCGTTGTTCTCATTTCAAGTTCATTTTTTTTCTGAATTTTTTTCCATTATATTTTGGTTTCTTGTATTCTTAAAGGTATTTTCAGAGGGTTACTTGTAAGCATAGCTACCAAAGAGCTGAAAGAAAGAAATCTTTGAAGCATCTATTTTCAAAAATAAAGTAACAGTTATTATTTATTTTAATTTTATAAGTGTTTCTGTTTTCAGGAATTATATAAGTTTCTATTCATCCACTTTATATTTAAAATGTGTTTCAAACACTAAGGAGGAGTTTATTGTGTTTTCTACTTTTTGTGTACTTATGATATTTTTGTTGTTTTGGGACAGGGGATTTTTTCTTTTTTTTTTTTTTGAGAGTGGTCAAAACAGTCTTCCTTGAATTGGAGGAAGGATAAGACAATTTAAGTTTACAGACATTATGAACAAACTTGTAAAAACATATGCTAAACCTAATACAATTTACAACAAAGAGAGAATTTATCCCCAGGGGTTTCTTACCTCTCATTAGATTTTTTCTGAAACACTCTCTGCCTTGTCCTTTGTTTATATTACAGTGAGATAAGGTTCTCAAAACTTCTAATCCACCACTAGGCCAAACAGAACACACTTATCACATCAGGTTCTGTCTGGATCCTGGCTAGTTTTTAGTTGGAAAGTCCCCCAAAAGAAATATCTTAATGGTCCCTCTGAAGGCTCTGGTAGATGCAGGCTAAACAGCTCCTTCTTTGAATCCCTGGAATATATTTACCCTTGACTTCCAAAACTGATCTCTGTAGAATTGTGGCAGTGGCACTAGGTTCCTAGCAGTGTCTCAGACTTGACAAAATACTAGAAATACCATATCTCCTCCTCACTTTGCCATCTAAATGATATTTTGGGGGTTGACACTCTTTTCCAGCTAATTTTCATATTTTAATTACCCATTTTGGTGATATTTAAGCAAAAGTTTGAAAGACTTATGATTCTCCTTTCTCTAGTTGAGAAACCAAGGCAGTATCATGAGCAGGAAGAAACACCCGAGATGATGGCAGCCCGAATTGACAGAGATGTGGTAAGTACAACAGTCATCTTTAGATCATTGGCTTTTTTTTAAGAGGAAAAAATATTCACAAGGAAATGAAGTTGATTTAAATGAAGATGTTTTGTTAAAATTTTTTTTTCAATGCCCTTTGAGTTGTATTTTTTCCATGACTATTTTTGCCTTTCTGCTAATATTTAGTTAGTAGACTTGGGCTGTGATAGAAGAACTAGCGTATTAACTGGTTTGCAAAGGAATTTAAGCTGCATTGTCAGATTTGAGGGATAGTCCAGTTTTTCTTTTCTCATAATTTTTAATTCATAATTGAAATTTTTTTAATGTCTTGGATTATCAAGAATATATTTTAGAATAACTAGAAGATAAAAGTTAAGTGGCATTTTTAAAGAATAGGTATGTAAATTTTAATGCTTTATAAAAGATAATGCCATATTTATTTTTATTTCTCTGTAGCAATTTTTTATAGAATGACAATGCCCTGTGATATAATAATAGAATGTGATGTTAATATAATTAACTTTTTACACTGTACACATGTAATAGGCTTATTTGGAAACAAATACTTAAAGGAATCTGAAATTTGACATTTAATTTTTACTTCACACTCTTACACATTACTTAAAAGTTTATTTAACCCCAGTTTCTATTCTTTAATTGGAAGAATGTCAGGTTTAACACATAATGGAGAAAGTCAGCTAAGACTATAGTACATGAGACAATCAAAACCATTTCAGTGATCTCTGAAAGCATAATACATCATTCTATTTTGTCATGTAGAAACTCTGATTAATGCCTTTTATTGTAGATTAGCTATATTTATTAGTTTATCACAACATTCTATATACCTTTAATTCTGTAAAATAACACTGTCAGTGTTTTATTTAGACATTTATTAGGAAAACAAAAACTCTCTGTGCTGTTCTAACAAAATGTTTCTTAGAATTCTTTTCCCCTAACTTTGTGTGGGAGAACACTATGAGAAAATTAGAGTAATTGAAAATAATAATCTAAGTAGATATTGTGAATGTTCTCTTGATGACATTGAAAATAGAGTGAAATTAAGCTAAAGAAAAATGTCAATGTCACTTTGGCCACAGATATATTTGGTTTGATTCTATTTCTTAGAATTAGTGATAAACTTGAAATTTACATGTGGGATTGTTTCTTTCTTTCATTTTTTTTCACCTTTCTGTTCTTTACTGACTAACAGTATACAGCTAAGATAAAAAATATTTTTGTTTTGTTTTATATTCTATAATTTCTAATTTCAGCAAATCTTAAACCACATTTTGGATGACATTGAATTTTTTATCACAAAACTGCAAAAAGCAGCTGAAGCATTTTCCGAGCTTTCTAAAAGGAAGAAAACTAAGAAAGGTAAAAGGAAAGGACCAGGAGGTAAGTGAAATTTTCTTAATCTTCTAAAGATTATTCAGAACTCCAGTGCTAAACAGAGCTTCTGCCCTTGTGAACTGCTCAGCAAAACTCCATCGACCATGGACTAAGTCCCTTTTCTAGTTTTGGAATAGCCCCAGAGATTTAGGCAAAGAATAAGGAGAGTCCAGGTAAGAGTCCATTTTGGTTCTGAGTTGGCTATAATGAAGAAAGACCCTAGGATGCCTTACCTGAGTTACAGAAACTCTGAGATTCAGGTAGTGACCATCTGTCTGTAGTTTTCATGAGCAATTATAAAATTAGTGTCTGTTAAAGTCATAGCTCTATTCTTCTCTTATTTGGATTTATTTTATTGTAAACATAGGACCTCATTATTTTGGTAAATATGAAGTTTGACTTGTTCATTAAAATATTTTAAAATGTCAGTGGATTTGAATTTTTTATCACAAAACTCCAAACAGAACATTCAGGTCACATACAAAATCGCATACAAGCAATTTTGAAGTATGCTGTAGTTCAGCTATTTAAGAGGGCTTTAAAATGTATAAAATTAAAATCATAGAAGTAATGTTTATACTTCCTCTGTCAAAATGGTATAGATTGAAATATATGAAAGAATAGTAAATAAAAATCCCTTCCATTACAGATGAATTCCAAATCTTACTCTTACACATATCTATATAATAAACATATGACCTTTAGCTTTATCTTCTAGATGTGTATAGCTGGAAATACCTTACCCCCACATATTCTGAAATTGAGTATTATTGCCTCTTAGTGCCTCAAACCTCTTATTTCTTCCGTGTTCTTTATGAAGGGTCTATTATCTTCTTGGTCACTCAGATCCAAATCCACAGATTCTTCTTTGACTTCATTCTCTAGCTTACAGCCAACATCAATTTTATTTTCTCAATGTCTCCTATATCCAGTTTTTCTCCCTTTTCATTTGCAAAACCAGCATCCATTTCAAGCTGTCATCATTTTTTACCCAGCTTTGTAAGCAGTCTTCAAGCCTCTACTCTTTCTTCCGTGAGAACTTTCTTAAAGCTCTTAAGTCAGTCACTTCATTCTTCTGCTATAAAGCATGTTAGTTCCATGTTCTATTGGTTTCAGTCCACCTCCTCACCCTGACAGTCAAGGGTGTCCACAATCTAACCTTGATCTACCCTTCCATTCTCATGTTTCTCTGCTTTCATGTTTTGTGTTTGTTGTTTCGTATGCATTTAGTCTCCTTTTTCCTTGTTTTTGCTTATGCTGTTTTTATCCAACTGTGCTATTTTTCCCACAACATTACCCTTGAATAAACCTTTAAAATCCTATCTTAAAGCTACTTTCTCCGTGAAACATCTTTTAGGTATACATTTCCTTATCTCCCAACCAGATACAATCTCTTTTCAGAACAGTTGGTACATCTCTGTTATTTAGATTCATGTCTTCTATTAGACGTGAAGGCTCTTAAGAGCAGGGCTTTAAACGTACTCATTTTTGTAGTCTTCACAATGTTAAGCATAATAACTGGTATATAGAAGAACTACAATATATATTTCTGGAATTGAATGAGTAATTGGTAGTGCCTAAGGGTAGAGAAGTTTTTTACTAACTTTAGATTTCAGTTTGTTACAGTCAGACTATGAGATATGGTGGAGTAACAAGGGAGAATGTCTAAAATTATTATTAAACTTTACAGACATAAATATTGTTTTTGTTTTCTCGTTTAATTTTCTTGGAACTTTGCTCTCACGTATCCTTCTTCTCACTTATTTCATTAGAGGGTGTTTTAACTCTACGTGCAAAACCCCCTCCTCCGGATGAATTTGTTGACTGTCTCCAAAAGTTTAAACATGGATTCAACCTTCTGGTAAGTGAAATTTATTTATATAGAATTAGAAGAAGTAATTTAAAAAGATCAAAGTCTAGTCAGGATGTTCCTGATTAAGAGATAAAATTGTGTTTTTCTAGATTTTTTGGTATGTACGTTTTGATTTGCTTTTAATGAAAACACAATGTGAAACAGGTATATCAAAGAGACTTGGTTGTAAGGTACTCTTAATTTTTTAAAAAAACTAACAACTTTTAATCTCATTCTGCTCATGCTGATGAATATACTAAAAGTGAAACCAGTTGTAAAGAGCTCTTACTCTGAGTCTATGCCAGACTTTTCTGAGTGTCTGTCTTTTGTTCAATTTTATCTTAGTAACATATTTTTCTGTTTTCTTGATGTTACAGGCCAAATTGAAGTCTCATATTCAGAACCCCAGTGCTGCAGATTTGGTTCACTTTTTATTTACTCCATTAAATATGGTGAGATTTTATTAATTTAAGAAAGTAGTATGTTTTTTAACCCCAAGTGTCTGTCTGGATTATCTAAACAGTTTTTCTTCATTACTTTCATGGGTACTATTTCTCTTGACATCTGTGTTAACATTAAGAATATGAAACTTGGGAGTTTAAAAGAACCTGGTGAATTATATAGTTCAAACACCTTACTTTATGAATGAAGAAACTGGCATCTCTGACAGAGCCAGGGAAGTTAAAAGAAATAAAGATTTATTGGATACTAGTGTTTCAGTGTACTCTAGTATATAACATACAGGGGCTTGAATAATGAAGATGTTTTTCTCATTCTCTCAAAATAGGCTAGTCGTGAGAATTCTAGTGCTGGATAGATGGCTTTGCTACGTGAAATCATTCAAAGACCCATATTCTTTTCATTGAGGTGTTCTTCTATCTCCTGAGTTGTCTCTGATTTAATTGTTTGTTCATTTATCTATTTATTCAACAAATAGTAATTGAGAGCTTCCCATGTACTTGGTTCATCAGAAACAAAACAGACAAAAATTCTTACCCTTTTGGAACTTACATTAGTGTAGAGGGTCAACCAGTAACCTAAATAAATGCTTAAATAATACCGTTCTCTAAAGATCAAATGCTATACAGAAAGATAGAGCAGGGGAGGAGAGCAGGGAGCACCACAGGTGAGTGCATGCACGTGTGTGCTTGCTGCGGAGTGTCATGCTTTTTGAATAGAATTGGTTAAGGGAAGCTGAGAAGGTATAAACCTTTAAAATCTAGAAGATGTCACTGAAGTAGAGGAAATAAGGAATAAGTCATGCGGATTTATGAAGGAAGAGAATTCCAAACAGAGAACAGCTAATGTAAATGTTCTGAAGTGGGAACCTGCAAAGAATATTCTTGGAATAAGTAGATTTTGTGACTTGAACAGAATCAGGGAAGAATAGATTAGAAGGAGATGAGATCAGTGAGTTAGTAGGAGGACATATCTTGCTGGTCCTTATAGGGGACTGTGACACCTTTGACAGTTGGAGAGTTTTCAGCAGAAAAGGATTGCTCTGGCTTTAATGTTTAGAAATTTGGAGGAGGGATGGGGCTAGGGTAGCTATTAAAATACTCCAAATGGGTAATTATGGTGCTTGGACCAGGTAGCACTAGAGTTAGTCAGAAATCTTATCTGGTTGCAATTTGCTGATAGTTTGGATATGGTGTGCAAGAGCCAAGGGCATCTCCAAGGAATTTGGGCCCAAGACTGGTAGGATGGAGTGGTGGTTAACTAAGATGGGGAAAACCACAGGTAGAGCAGTTTTTTGGAGGAAGATGAGGAATTTGGTTTTAGATTTGTCAGAATTGAGTCATATCCAGATGGGGAAATTTGAATTGGTTGTTGAGTGTAAGAACTTGGAGTTCAATGGAGAAATCAGACATAGAGATATACATTTAAGAATCATCTGTATTTAAAAGGCATTTAATACCATGAAATCAAATGATGTCACTAAGGGAGTGATTGTAAATAAAGAAAAGTAAGAAGGCCAGGCATGGTGGCTCATTCCTGTAATCCCAGCACTTTGGGAGGCTGAGGCAGGAGGATCACTTGAGGCCAGGATTTCAAGACTAGCCTGAGTAACATAGTGAGACCCTATCTCTACAAAAAATAGAAAAATTGCCAAGAGTGGTGGCATACATCTGTAGTCCCAGCTTCTTGGGAGGCTGAGGCAAGAGGATCGCTTGAGCCCAGGAATTTGAGGTTGCAGTGAGCTGTGATGTTGCCACCGAACTCTAGCCTGAGTGACAGAGCTAGACCCTGTCTCAACAAAAAAAAAAAAAAGAAAGAAAGAAAGAGGAAGAAGAACTGGTTGAGCCCTGGGCATTTTCAGTGTTAGGAAATTAAGAAGAAGCAGCAAAGAAGATTGTGAAGAGGCAGTAAGGGAGGATGAATCTAATTCTCTTTCCCCAGGGATAACTAGACAACACCTGAAGTAGAATATGAAATGAGTATTGCTTTAAAATGTGGAAAAGTAAGTAACATTATCAGCATGAATGTCAAAAGCTGAGCAATAAGAGATTAGGAGATGAACATCTAAGACTTCATCAATAATTTATGAATGTTTCCATATGTTGTTGCTATAAAGAGATCATCAGATTTCTACTTGTCTTGTCATTGTTGAATAATTCTTGCTATATAAGCTTTTTTAAAAAATTAGATCAAGGCTAAGACCATACACATGCAAAGAAACTGATACTAGCTCATTAATAAAATTCGTATTCTTTATTGTTTAACGCCTTTGATACTATCTTAGTTTGAGTATTCGGAAGTGTTTTTTACAAAGCAGTTTTTGCTGCCTGCTCTTATTCTTTTCATACTTGTTCACAGATCATAAGTAGATATCTAGACATTACACAGAGTAGAGCTATGAAATAGTGGGACTGATTTCCCTAACATATACAACTTAGTCTTTGTGATCAGGTATGTATCTAAAAACATTGATTTCTTTTATCTTTACCTTTCTTAAAAATGTCACCTTATTAGTGGTTTTCCCAATCATAATACCTCTGTTGGGCCATTTAATGTTCTCCCTAAGGGCCCCAGACATTTTACTTGGACAAGGGAGATGAGGAGGAACATTTTTATACAGGGCCTAGTACCAGCCAGGCAAAATGTAGTGGCTTTAAACCATGTGAATAGCTCCCCTCTACCCTCAGCATGCACATGGACACACAAGCATCCCACAGCACTCATGTGTGGCACACGCCTACTCACGTTCTTGAGAGGGAACTATGGCCCAGAGTCTTCTATTTACCTTTCACTTCCTTGTCCCTCTGTTAAACCAGAGATTTTAATATTCCTCTTCTCCTTTACTTTAGTCTCTTACTTTTCCCTCTTAGTCATCCCTGCATATTTCTTGGAAATGCTTATAGAGCTTGGAAGATAAAAATTACTGTGCCAAGTAGTTAGAATAGGTTTTGTTCTCAAATAAGAGTCAGCCTATCTCCTTTATCTGCTATATTTTTCTTCCTTTATTTTCATTTATTCCATTAATGAATTGTCTTCCACAATTAAAAGTCAAAAATAAGTCTTAGTCCATGTCCTCAAGGAAGGGAAACTGAAAAATAAGCCATAAATTATACTGTAATGTGTTACTAACATGCATAAACTATATTGAGGATGCTGGGTGCAAGGTGGGGAGTGGTGTATCAGAGTGACACTGTTGGGTGGGTTAAGTCTTCCCACAGGAGGTGGTACCTGAGTAGAGTTCTGAATGATGGAGGAAACTGGGGAACTGGGCTTAGCATTTGCAAATACACAGAGGTATAAAACAGCATAGTGTGCTCAGAGCACCTGGGTAACTGGAGCCATTCAAAACATCTCCTTTTTTCTTGTGCCACATCTCTGAGAAGGTGAGATTTTTATAAAAGAGTCTGGTTTCTGTTCTAGGAGATAACTACCATTTTTTAGCCAGAAAATAGCTCCTGAGAAGTAAGTTTAGGACAGTGTTTGGACATCCACTTATCATCATTTTGCTTATCAAAGAGTTGCACCTGTGTATTTGTTTCTGCTAGTCATTAAATTATCCATATTAAACCAGGGATATTTTCTAGAAATAAATTCTGGCAAAAGATGCCATAGATTGAGGTACCAGTTTTTATTCATATCTTTCTCTCTGGATACTTTTATTTTTGTATGTCTGTGTAAGCATAGCCATAGGCTGTTAACATGAGCCTTGTTTTTCTTGATAGTATTCATTTCTGGAACCATATTTTTCAAATTTGGCGTAGTAGATTTGCCAGTAGAGGTACATATATTTTAAACAACAACAACAACAAAAACCCAGAGATAGCAAAATCACCTGACTTAGAATTCTCTGTGTAGCCATTAATATTTTCTAGAAAAAGCACAGTCATATGCAGTTCATAGGCAAATGCTGTGAAAAAACTGTTAACTTTCATTTTAGATTTTAAGGCACAGTTGGGCTAGACAGGTTGCTTTGGCAAGGTCTTTTTGATTCAGTAGTGCATTGTACGACATCAAAATTTAATTTGAGTGTAAAAAGCAGGGCTTGTTTTTGGCATGGATTTTTGTCTACACATTTTGAAAATACACAAATAATAGTCATCTTGCTGAAAAATGGTTTATTATTTTAGGTGGTGCAGGCAACAGGAGGGCCCGAGCTGGCCAGTTCAGTACTCAGTCCCCTATTGACTAAGGACACAATTGATTTCTTAAATTATACTGTGAATATGGATGAACGGCAGCTGTGGATTTCATTGGGAGAAACTTGGATGAAAGCCAGGTAAGCAATATATGAGTTCAGCATTTAATACTTGTAATTCATTAAGCATTATTCTTTGTTTATTATGTGGATCTAATGAGACATTTATTTAACTTCCTATTTATGAAGGACTAGGTGTTATAGGATGAAAAAGCCTAAACACTTAAAAAGCTAGAAGTCTAATAGGGGAGATAGAAGTGTATGGAACATAAGGCATGATAAATGTCAGGAGCGAGTCATAAAGAAAACGCTGTTGGTTGGCAAGGGGGAGCACTCGGGAAGAGGGTTTAGAGAGAACAGTTAGCTTTCAAAGAAGAGCTGGCATTTAAAATAGACAGATGCATATAGATAAAGTTTACACACAACACACACACAGAAACATACACATACAGTGCTTGCTATGTATTCTTCCATGTACTTTACATAGCTACTGTTATTATCCCTATTTTACAGAGGAGGAACGTGAGGCACAGGGAAATTAAGTAATTTGCCCAAGGTCACACAACTTGTAAGTGACAGAGCAGGAATATGAACCCATACCTTCTGGCTCTGGAATTGATGTTCATACTTACTCTGCTACACTGCCTTTCAGCAAGATGAGTAGGATTTCCAGTAGTACACAACAGGGAAATAGCCTTCCCAGTAGAGTGAGAAGAAGAAGTGAAGGAATGAAGTAGGAAAGTCAAGAGAATGGTGTAAAAGAATGGGTTTAGCTGGAATATAACCTTGGCTAGTGGGTAATTGTGGAGAAGGGAGGCAGGAAGAATGGTATTAAATGAAGCATATAGTGATGAGCAGGGCTGGGCTATGCAGGCTTCCAATGCCATGCTAAGGAATTGGAACATGGTTCTGTAGGCCGTGGAGAACCACCAACTTTGTGAATAGGACTATGACATAATCGCATCTATGTTTTAGAAAGATCAGTCTGGTAGTTGAGTCTAGCATGGATGAGTCTAGCATGGACAAGGACAAAAGTAACTGGAGACAGAGAGGCCTTGTGAGATGTTAATGCTATAGTAGAGGCTCCTTATAAATGACATTCTCCAGGACTAGAGCAGTCACAGTTCGATTGGAAAGGAAGAGTGGAAAATTTTAGGAATTGTGTATTTGTCAGTAATGTGATTGTGGAAGACCAATTAATAATTTCAGTGCTAATGTTTGCTGAGCAAAGCAAGTTATAAAAATATTTCTAATTTTGTTGTATGTGAATAAATAATTTTTGCTTTGCTCATTTATCTAAATCTTTTTATTTCTGTCATCACTTAGAGTAAATCATTCAGTATGGCCCCTGAGATGTTTGTCTTTCTAATGCTTTTGAATGGGCTAGAATAAAAGTCATGGACCAATTCATAATTTTTTTTCTCCTTTTTTTCCCCTATTGAAACACATACAAACTATTCCCACTTATTTTTTGGGCCTTGGCAAAGGCCCAAAAAGGCCTGCTTGCGTTGGAATATAGTTTTTACTTTGAATTGCTTAGCAACCAGAAATTCTTTAAAAGTGTTGCAGTTGCCTGGGCACAGTGGCTCATGCCTACATCCTAGCACTTTGGGAGGCCAAGGCTGGGGGATTGCTTAAAGCCAGGAGTTTGAGACCAGCCAACATTGTGAGACATGGAGATAGAAAAATTAACTGGATGTGGTGGCATGCCCCTGTAGATCCAGCTACTCAGGAGGCCAAGGCAGGAGGATCGCTCGAACCCAGGAACTTGTGGTTGCAGTGAGCTATGATGATGCTACTGCACTCTAGCCCCAGCAACAGAGTGAGACCCTTGAGACCCTGTCTCAAAAAAAGGCATTGCAATTGTTTATATATTGAAAATACCATTTAAATGTATTTATTTATATATAAAGATACCATACTACACACTGTATCATACTATTTTTATGTCATACTGTGTAAAAATGGTTAAATAGATTTCTTTTTAAATTTATTTAATTTTTTTTAAATTTGAAAATCTTACTGGGGTACAAATGTTTTGGTTACATGGATTGCTTTTATAATGCTTGAAGTCAGAGCTATAAGTGTGCCCATCACCCAGATAGTGTTCATTGTACCCATTAGGTAGGTTTTTGCCCATCCCCTCCTCCCTCCTCACCCCTGATTGATTTCCATTGAGTTTTACTTCCCTCTGTGCACATGTGTGCTCATCAGTTAGTTCTAATTTAATAGAGAAACATTAAATTAGACATTTGGTGTTTACTTTTCCATTCTTTAGATACTTCACTTAGGGTAATAGTCTCCAGTTCCATCCAAATTGTTGCAAAAGGCATTAATTCATCTTTTTTGTGGCTGAGCAGTATTCCGTGGTTTACATATTCCACATTTTGTTAATCCACTCACGAATTGCCAGGCACTTAGGTTGATTCCACATCTTTGCAATTGTGAATTGTGCTGCAATGAAAGATATGTATGGCAAACCCACAGCCAACATCATACTAAATGGGGAAAAGTTGAAAGCATTCCCAGTAAGAACTGGAACAAAGCAAGGGTGCCCACTGTCACCACTTCTATTCAACATAGTGCTGGAAGTCCTAGCCAGAGCAGTCAGGCAGGAGAAAGAAAGAAAGGATATCTAAATCAGGAAAGAGGAGGTCAAACTGCCACTTTTTGCCGATGATAATGATCTTATATCTAGAAAACCCCAAAGACTCCACCAAGAGACTCCTGGAATTGAGAAATAAATTCAAAAGCCTCAGGTTACAAAATCAGTGTATACAAATCAGTAGCATTCCTATACACCAATAACAGTCAAGCTGAGAATCAAATCAAGGACTCAATACCATTCACAATAGCTACAAGGAAAATAAAATACCTAGGAATATACTTAACCAAGGAGGTGAAAGATCTCTACAAAGAGAACTACAAAAGACTGAGGAAAGAAATCACAGATGACACAAACAAATGGAAAAACAAATCATCCTCATGGATTGGTAGAATCAACATTGTTAAAATGTCCATACTACCCAAAGTGATTTACAGGTTCAGTGCAATCCCCATCAAAATATCAACATCATATTTCACAGGTCTAGAAAAAATTCTGTGCTTCGTTTGGACCCAGATAAGAGCCCGAATAGTCAAAGCAACCTTAAGCAAAAAGAAGAAATATGGTGGCATCACATTACCAGACTTCAAACTATACTACAAGGTGATAGTAACCAAAATGGCATGGTATTGGCACAAAAACAGAGACATAGACCAATGGGACAGAATACAAAACCCGGATATAAAACCATCCACATACAGCCAACTGATCTTTGACAAAGCAGACAATATTCACTGGGGAAAAGAAGCCCCATTCAATAAATGGTGCTGGAAAAATTGAATAGCCATACGCAGGAGAATGAAACAGGATCCATATCTCTCATCACTCACAACAGTTAATTCAAGATGGATAAAAGACTTAAATGTAAGGCATGAAACCATAAATATATTTATTTTTATAATTTTTTATTGATACGTATTAGGTATACATATTTTGGGCATACATGTGATAGTTTGATACAGTCATGTAATATATAAAGATCACATCAGGGTGATTGGGATATCCAACACTTTAAATATCTATCTCTTTATGCTAGGAACATTCGAATTATTCTCTTTTAGCTATTTTGAAATGTTATAATAGATTAACATTAACTGTAGTTACCCTAGTGATCTATTAAACACCAGGTATTATTTCTTCTATGTAGTTGTGTATTTGTTCCCACTAATCAACCTCTCTTTATGCCCCTGCCCTCCCCTCTATCCTTCCTGGCCTCTGGTAACCGCCAGTCTACTCTCGATCTTCATGAGATCCATTTTTTTTGAAGCATCCACATATGAATAAGAACATGTGATATTTGTCTTTCTGTGCTTGGCTTATTTCATTTAACATAATGACCTCCAGTTCCATCCATGTGCTGCAAATGACAGGATTTCATTCTTTTATATATCCGAATAATATTACATTGTAAATAGATTTTTAAAATCTATTAGATTTATGTAGGTTATGATTTTATCATAAGCCTAGATGGGATCCTTTATTTTTTTTCTCCTGAGGTTAATTAAATTTATCACCTCTCTTAGTACAAAAATAGCTCAGGCTATTTAGTTACTTTGTTTTGGGTCCTACCTCAAAATGAGAAAATTAATGACCATCAAAAGGAAATGTATTAGCTCTTAACATGAGAAAAAGGTCCTTGTTAAAAGTATTAGGAAATAAATGTACTAACTGATTTAAAATCTCATAAAAGTGAAAAGAATCATGAAGGTACATAATCTGGATAAAATGGCTGATTTCATCCTAGTAGAAATGGGTACAATGAGCACTATGTGGGCACACTTATAGCCCTGGCTCAAGCATTACAAAAGCGATCCATGTAACCAAAAACATTTGTACCCTCGTAATATTTTGAAATATAAAAAAAACAAAAAGAAAGAAAGAAGGCCAGGTGAGGTGGCTTGCGTCTCTAATTCTAGCACTCTGGGAGGCCAAGGTGGGAGGATCACTTGAGCTCATTAAGAGTTCAAGACCAGCCTGAGCAAAAGCAAGAGTCTGTCTCTACTAAAAATAGAAAAATTAGCTGGATGTTATAGCACATGCCTATAGTCCCAGCTACTCGGGAGGCTAAGGCAGGAGGATCACTTGAGCCCAGGAGTTTGAGGTTACTGTGAGCTATGATGATACCACTGCACTCTACTCAGGGCAACAGAGCTAGACTCTGT